GTGTTTCACAAAATGACAGTGTGGTTCAGGTTGGAAGGGGTCTCTGGAAGTCAACTTGTCCAATCCTCCCCTGCTCAAGAAGGGCCACCTAGAGCCAGTTGCCCAGGACCTGAATACTCTCCCCAAGTTTACCCAATTGCCAGACACAGTATGTAACGGGCATCATTAAGCCTCCTATCCAGTGTTTTTCCCTGGTTCAGGAGCACTTCTGCAAACTTCACTGCAATATCAGGTCCAGACTTGGGGAAAGTATTCCGCAAAATCTCAGGGCAATACTGCTTTCCCATTCCTAGTGGCTGTGCTCTTTCTCATGCAGCCCATGATCATTTCGACTCTTTCAGCCTCGTCTTTGTGTTGGGAGATCATCATAACGGTCACTTCAAGATATGGAGCAAGTTTCTTATTTCTGTGCTTGGAATACTTTCACTATGAGCGTGACCAAGCACTGGCACAGGTTGCCCAGAGAGGTGGTGCAGTCTCCATCCTTGGGATGGTTCTCACCAAAAAGGTATTTCATAATCCATCCTCTCTCTCTTGTCACTGTGACAGAAAATGGATTAGGAAAAGGTTTCCAATGGTATTGAGCGATGGGAGCAGACTTTGCAGAAATCAGCAGATGCTCAGAGAGTTTTGGGAAGCTTTTCATGGCAAAAGGTTTGGGTGCTGCAGGTCACCTACTGAAGTTGGTTCCTTGTAGGTATCCTGCTGGCACCTACCTGAATAGCATGGTGCTACCTTGCTAGGCAGGATGGAGAAGAGAGGCTGTCTGGGCTGCTGAAAGGGCCTGGGCTTTCTGGCAGATCTGGGGGTGAGATGAGGGCTGCGCAGCTGCCTGAGGATGCATGACAAAGAGCACTAACTTACTCTGAGATCCAATTTCTCTTAAACATTCGTAGCACCTGATCAAAAGCTTTACAGGAAAGGAGGAAATGCACTGTGTGTTTTGTTCTGAAACACTGCCAGAAAGATTACTAACTAAGCTACCTGATAACTTTTAGGAAATATTAAATAAGTTCATATGCGATTGTATTTTTGTGAAGTTGCATTATTAGGGCACAGATGTTTTGCTTCTACCCATACTCTCAAGCAATAAAAAATTGGATGATCAACAGGTTATATTAAATAAAAATAAAACAAGCAAAAAACCACCCCAAACTTTACATTTTTTTAGCCTGTGTGATTTCCGCCTCCACATGTGTTGGTTTCTGAGTCTTTAAGGTATAATTGAGTCATACTTCCTGGTTTTCTCAGTATAGTCCCCAAATTACAGAAATCCTATTGACTTGAAAGGAAATTGGCATTTCTTCCACAAGCTTTTTTGGAGTAGTGGGGTTTGAGGTTTTCAGGTGATCCAGTGATTCTAGACATGGGGGCTAAATGAAATGCTGAATGTCATACAGGTGGGCAGCACTCTTTGTAAGCATACATTGGCATGTCTGTTTTCTTGCACATGGTTGTTAGCACGTAGATGGGTATACTGTGTGACCAGGGTCAACCCACCAACATAGGATAGATATTGCAGGTTGTTTTGTTTGGGTGGTGGGTTTTTTTGGGGTGGTTTTTGTGGTTTTTTTTTTTTCTTCTCCTTCTCAGAAGATCCCTAAATAGTTAGAGTATTTGAGTTAGTGATAAGGTCTTCAGAAGTACTCAGTGTCTCTTCAAAAAGGCTATGCAAATCCCATTTTTACCACTTAAACTGAGGTGTGGCTAGAATTTGAAGGTCTAAATTAGGTAACCAATGTGGTAATAGTGAATAGGTTCCTGACTTCACATGGGTTTGTAATAATAATTGTAAACCATGCTTTGACTTGAATCCAGTACTGAAAATAAGCTTGATAAATTCACTCCCTTACATGCATGAACACAATTTGGTATATAGTGCAGACTCTACTGCTGACAGTATCAGGGCTAAAAAAGCTTAGAAGAGAAGTAAATGTGATTGTTATTAATTTAGGGCTTGTATGAGATGAATTCACTGTATCCGCTGTATTACTGTAATTATATACTGTGTTAGTATATTGACAGTATACTGTATCTTACTCAAAATTGCATATTATCTTCTTCCATTTTCAAGCAGTTGATTCACCTGCAAATTCATAAACTAATGCATCAGATTTCCCCAGAATAACCACAATGTCTCTGCTTCCTTTTAGCAAATGCATTATTTGGTTACAGGGCACTTCAAAGCTGTGACTGTGGAACTTGCACTGACTTCCATCAGAGGACCAGACCCAAATCTTTGCAGAGTCAACCTCTTCTCTACCCAAACGATTAGAGCATTTGCTTCCACTTACTGGTTCTAAATATTGTTTGCCATCTGTATACTACTAATAATACATTTTTGCAATAGATGTTAAAAGAAAATGCAGTAAACAGTATTGAAGAAAAAAACACAAACATGTAAATATCACTGGACTCTGATATCTTCTTTAAAATAGTTAGGCTACATTTCTTTCAACTAAATGTCCTTTTCTGATTTTTAATGTTTGAGGGAAACCTGCAGGTTGGTGTGCCTGCAGAAATTTGTTGCTGTGGTATCCTATTTCTCACTTGACAGTCTTCCCTCAGGCTTTGTATCCTCCTTAACTGAGCTGGCCATGCTGTTTGCAACCTCACTGGTAACGGTGACCCAGAATTGCAGTGACGATTGGGAGGGAAGGACCTTCTCGTGGTGCTGGTAGTACCGCGGCGCTCCAAAATGCTCTGCACATTCGCAGAGTCACTCTGCCCAAGCAAACTTCTTTTCACAACTGGAGATTAATCACCTACTAGGCTTGTAGATTAATTTTACTAACAGGCACGTACTAGATCATTAGTTTAGGCTTCTGGCTTGATCTCACGCTTCTCCTATTAGTTTCTGACAAGTGGAAACATTTTATAAATAGTAAATGAAGCAAAAATGCAATTTAAAAAAAGGAAAATAATGCTGTGAAGTATGAAAACCATGTTGTTGTTTAAATAAGTTAGTAGTTGGAGGAGACATTCTCTCAAATTGCTTTGTCAAGCTTTTTTCTTTCCATTTTTGATCACTTTTTTTCCTTCTGCATTTTAAAATCCCAGTTATTTATTACGTTTGGTATGTAGTTTATTAAATGCTCAGCAGATAGTTTACAACTATAAATTTTACACTGATAGTACAATTGCAGAAATTTTGTTTGTGCTTTAGGATGTAAAAAGAGAAAAATAACATTCTCTAGCTGGTCCTGTCAAAGCAGAATATTTGAGGGAATGAATCTTCATTTCTGGCTGTGCAGGCCCAGTGCTTGTTAATGGGAGGAAAGGCAGAACAACCCACCTGGCAATCTATTAATGCAGCTTTGTGGCTGCAAAGTTTCTGTTTATGAGGAAACGTCACTAATCGCCTATTAGGTTAGAAAACTATGCAGAGAGTCATACTACTCAGGGCTTTCCCAGAAAAAGGCTAGTAGGGCATCTGGAGAGTCTGCTGACTGTGTTAGTGCTAGCACCTACAGATGATGGACAAAGGTTTCTTGAATTCTCCAAAATCTGTGGAAATTGTGCCGGTATGTTTTGTCACTTTGTCACAAAAATGCAAATGGTGAGCAGAAGTGGGAGTCCTTCAAATTCGTACAGAAAAAGAGGCAGGGATGCTGCTGTCTCTTAATATTGTACTTCTAACAGTTCATTACAAATGTTTCCTGTGCATCTGACAATGAATTGTAATGGACTGTAATTATGGCATGAATATGTGCTGTATTTTGATTTGAAATCCATTGCTAATTAGTTAAGAGCAAATCTGAGTGCTATAACAACAAAATGGCCGATTTACGTATCTGGTTTAATTTTTCATTCTGAAGTAAGGTGAAGCTGAGGTTTTTATTTTAAAGTTTGTAGCAGACTTTTATTTACAAAGACATTGACTTCTGTAAATTCTACCTTTCAATTTCTTCACAATCAATCCATTAATGTCAGTGGAAGCGTTGTGTCTTGTTTATGTAGGTCTCTAGACATTAGCATCTCTTATCAGTACTGCTGTTGACAGCTCCTTCAGCACAGAGTATAAGGTTTGCATTCCCCGATAGAAGCCTCACAGTGTGACACAGCGTATTACTGCTTTTAAAAAACAGCTTGTGCATTAGCAGCACCTCAGTTGGGTGATGGCAGCGTATGAATCCCAGCTCAGTTCTCGAGGCCATTGGTCACCTTATGGACATCAGTGGGGCTTAAAACATTACGGGCTTGGGTTTGGGAGTGGTGCAGGCTGGAGGGTTATTTATTGACAGCTATATGAGGTGTTGGCAGTGATGTGAGATGCTTCTTAAAATTTGCTTTTTGTGCAAGGTGAGGTAACATGAGATGCTGCTTTTTGTTCAAGGTGAGAACGTGGAACAGTATCCTCCCAGCTTACAAACCTGAAAATGTTGAGCTTTTAACCAGTGGGGTTTGGCTTTTAAAAGTAAATAAATATATGGATGGATGGGTTTCAATCACTGAACTAATTGATACTCTATGATTGTTCTGGAGTATTTTCCCCACTTAATGGTGATGAGAGATTTTGTTTAAGCAAAACACCATCAGTCCCCCCCCATTACTGGTTTTGTTTATTAGGAGTGAGGAAATTCTTGGTTTTGTTTTTAAGACTCCTGTCGGCTTTTTCTTACTTTTAAAGGTGGACGGGCTTCACTAAGCAGCAGTGGTGCTGGAGGTCATAGCTACTGAAGGAAGCAAATTAACATACAGTATGTTAATTTGTTTTCCCTGTCCTTCAGTCACAGTGAGGAGAGTCTAAATATTTCAGTGACTGAGACTTTGGATTCCCGCTCCTTGTTACACGACAACAACAAAAGCTATTTATAGCAATAACAGTTAGCAGCGATACAGCGGCCTCAGACAGCTATAGGCAGCGTCTCACCATGACCACAAATGTTAACTGCTTTTGCACTGAATGCCTCTGTGAAAACAAAGAGCACTGAGAAATAAAGATCAAAGCAAAACCAAAAGAAAGATTTTTTTATTGCTATGTTTTACTTTGCTGGCAGACCAGAGCAAAGGTTTTCTGAACATTTAAAAGATGAAAAAGGTGAAGAATCCCAGAAGCGATTTATCTTGAAGCGAGATAACTCTAGTATTGATAAAGAAGACAATCAGGTTGGTTCTCGGTTCGAGAGTTGCTGAAATTTGTTCTGTTTTTGAAGGTGGGCTGACTGATGTTATTGTTGTTCTTTTGTTGTTGCTCTCCTCCTCCTCCTCCTCTTCCCCTGCCCTCCTGCCCCCTCCCCGCCTCCTCTGGCGTACGTACCACCGTGGGTAGCATCGAGCCCCGGCGTGGCCGCTTCAGCCGTGGCAGTGTGTGGGTTTGCATGGGTGGTTTGCTTGGCGCAGGACTTGCTGCATGCCCACGGGAGGGGGAATGCCGGCGGCTCTGGGCTGCGTGGAAGGCTGTGTCAGTCGCATTTCCCAATGTCTTGCCTAATTATGGCAGTTGTTCCGCTCCCTACAGCTTCTTCCTTCTGTTGTACCCATTCAGAGTTGGATTTCAGTATGGACCGATGATAAACTGATGTAGCCCAAAAAGGAGAGAGGAAAAAAAGAATACATTTTTTTTTTAAAAAAAAAAAAAAATTTTTTTTTTAAAAAAAAAAAAAAAAAAAGCCCCAAACAAACGTGATGGTGAGGCCAGGTTGATTTTTTTTTTAAACCATCCTAAATTAAACTTCTGACAAAAATAAATCAGTTTCATCTTTTAGTTCCCTCCCTCCTCCTGTGCCCTCACCACCTTTTACTGTCTGTGTAACTTACTTGCTTGTCGTGCATGTACTGTGGCAGACGTTCCCCCTCTGTGTTGCCTGTGCCATAACACTACCTTACCTTAGGTGAGCCCGATGAGTAGGGGAGAGCCAGGGAAATGTGTGTGTTTGTGCTGCCTTTAAAAGCGGGTGTTGTGCTGTTTCAATCCAGTGCAAGCTGTGTATGTGGAATATATTAACAACAAAAAAAAAAAATTTCAAAAAGGGTTCTGACGTTAATTGCTTTTATGAGAAAATTCTCACAGGTAAGACGACAGCGTATGCTTTCTTTGCTTAGGTTATATTTGTGGAGGGACCTCCCAGTGAGTCTCTCATTGCCACTCTCCTTCATGTTTTCAGTAAAGGACTGATTTTTCCTTTCTCTTTTTCTTTTTTTCCGCCCCTTTTTTTCCTTGACTTTTCGTTGTGTGTAGCAGCCTTGCCAGTTATGCTGCATCCGAGTTAGCTTCGAAAACAAACCCCAAGAATTTTCAGGGTGTGGTGAACATGGGGATCAGCCAGAGGAAGGCAGCATGAACTATCTCACCAGGTGCTGGGGTGCAGGGGAAGAAGGAGCAGTGCTTGAAACCCAGTTGCCTATGAAGTATTTCTTGCTGGGGGTCCTCTTCTCCTCTCCTCCCTCCCACGGCACAGCCATTTCCTGCACTGCAATTTGCCGAGAGGCACATGGCCCTTCTTTTCCCCAGCGAAACTGCAGTCGAGGGTTCCTTCTGGTGTGGAAATGGTTAAAAGTGTCGTGCCCAATATTTGGGACTTCTCCTCCTTGTGCACGTAGACTTTGGTGGGTTTCTTCTAGGATTTGCAGTTTAGCTCTTGCAGCCTAGTTTTCCCTCTTTTCATCCTCAGTTTCGTAGGTAGCGCAGCGCTGCCTGCCCTCCTGCTCCTCGCAGCCGGTAGGAGAGTCGAGAAATCTTAGCAGTCGAGAGCAATGGCACTTAGGCTTGGGGTGAGAACACCCGATTTTAGGACAGCGGGTCCACAAAAGCCGTGCAGAAAAAGCCTCGTTTCAGCCACTCGCTCTACGAACCCGCGTGCGGTATCTAACTGGAAACCTTCGGGTGCCCAGCCTCGCCGGGCGCTTCGTGCAGGAATGACAGCTATCGTTTTCATGCTTCATTTGTTTAAGTGAACATTTATTATTCTCAGCTGATAGTTACTTAACGGCAGTTTTTAACAGCTCAACTTATATAACCCTCCTGGTTTTCTTTCTGCTCAGCAAAACAGAATTCTTCCATTTAGAGATGACAGACGAAGTAAATCAATTGAAGAGAGAGAAGAGGAGTATCAGAGAGTGAGGGAGAGAATATTTGCACAAGATGTGAGTAGTTGTTTTAATTGCCTCTTTAGTGCCATACCTTCGCCGGTAGTCAGACAGTCTTGCTCCCCTCCGACACAAATCACCGCAGCTGGGCTCGCCCGGTGGAGCTGGAGGCGACAGGGAAGGGCGATTGGCGCAGAGGGTCCGAGAGGAGCTCGAGAGGTGCGGAGGTTGGCTTCTGGAGAAGGAGGTGACGAGAGTTGCAGGGAGAAGGGTAGAGGAGAGATCAGGTTCAGCATGTTGTCCGGGGAGTGCTTATCCCATTTCTTTGAATGTCCGTGTGGTCTAGATTTCCTTCTTTTTTCCTTCTATTTTGCCAACCGAAGAGCAGTGATTTAAATGGACACTCTCAATAATTTTCTATAGCCGTGTTGTTTCGTATTTGTTTCGAGCTGGATCGAGTTTTGTAAGTGTCCTTCTGCAGGGCCTCCTCGTGGTTTTGTTTCTTTGGACCAGTGCTGTAGCACTAAGACACTAAGAACAAAGAAAAGCCAGAGGTTAAACATGGAGTCGCACGGGTTATTTTTGAAATGGCTGATTAAGGAACTGTATTTCTGCCATCAGAAAGAGTTGGTCACATTGTTGATGATTTTATTCTGAAAGGAATAACATGAAATGGGCATTATAATTCCTGCCTTACCAAAAAATCAGAACTTGCACAACAGGCTATGTTGCTAGAGGAAAACATTTAAACAGAAAACATCTGTGAGCGATACCTCATGATCCTGAAAAAGGAAGAAAATCATAATTTGCTATAATACTGTAATGACAGGGTCCTAAAAGGAAAAAAAGAAAAAACTCAACATTTTATTGTTTTATCTCATTTCTCAGTGGGAGCTCTGCCACTTAGAGGAATACGGGAATAAACCAAATTAAAACTATTACTGAAAATCATATTTGGCAGTGTCCTTTTAAATTAAAACTGTTCATATGTTGCAGGGCTAATAGTATTATTTTAGATATCCTTTTATTTTGCTCTGGTTTTGGAGATACGCACATCCAAGTTATTTTTCTTCAGCAGAATACATTGTACAGTTTTAAGGTGTGTGTTGTCTCATTTGTAATAAGTAATTTTGCTTGTTTATAAGTAGCTTGTCACATCTAAACGTTTTTAGCCTGGCTTTTCCCTTCTTGACTGAGACAATTCCAGTAAAAGCAGAGGCCCTTCAGTTTACGTTTTGCTTTGAGCATGTGGGTGTGATGTAAATACCGTCACAGTATAGAGTTACAGAGTTGTTCAAGGGCTGCAAAAGCCTCTTTGCAACCTGTCTCCTGTATGAAAGTTGCTGTTTCTGGCTTATTACCAAGGAGCTTGTACAAACGAAAAATATCTTTGGGTTTTGAAGCAGACTTCAAATGAGGCAAAATGTCGTTTAAAAATACCATCTGGAAAGTTGTTGCCAAAAAAATAATGCAGGTTCTATCACAAGCAGCAGCTAGAAATGCCAGGCTGGGAAACGGAGGTGGCCGGAGTAGTGTGCTGAAACTTGCTCCACAATGTGCTGCTGTTTTTATCTCTAGATACTTGTGTTGTAAAGACAGGCAAGCGGTGAGCATTTTAATTGCTCGCAGCAGGAGGTTTTTGTGGTCCATTGGGTTAGCATCTCCGAGCGGCAAGACCTAAGTAACAGTGTGGTTTGTGGCAGGCATTTTTAAATGGATTGGGAGTGAGCATTTTTAAAGATCGGCAGTTAGATATCTCTCCCTCTCTCTCTTATATCCACTCATTTGCTCTCTCTCTCTGCTATTGCAGGTGTTAGTGAGCATCATGGTGCAGTGAATTTCAGCAAGCTGTACTAATATTATTAAACAGGAATATATGTCTTAGCTGAGCTTTTTTGAGTGGAGCACTCCTCACAGATACGAGGTATTTTTAGGATGATGTCAGTGGTTGTGGTGGTGGATGATGACATTTTTTTCAATTTTAGGAAGGAGAGCAATGGCTTCCTATTACAGCTAGCCACTTACTGCATGTAAGACTTTATAGTTTTAAAGCCCTCTGCAATCATTAATTAATCCAATTCTCCCCAGGTTTCTCAGAGGTAGGTACCTAAGCCTTGTCATCCTGCAAATTATAGATGTAGAAAGAGAGACAGGGAGGGATTAATCATGTGGTATTTTTATTATCTCTAATACTGTTTACACTGCTGTAGTCAAGCCTTTATCAGTGCCTTGCTTATGAACCTTAGCAAACGGATTATAGATACTTCACTTCTAATTAGAGTGTGCATGAAGAGCGCTTGCATGAGAGGTCTCCAAAGGGCAGCCGTGAAGGTCAAGAGTACTGCCATAACTTGCTGCACCTAGCATCCCTCTCTAAACATGTTTGAGGTACCCAGACCTCTTTGGATAACATATCAGCCCAAGAACAAAATACAGGAGGAAAAGGCAATCTGGTCACAGGGGCAAAAAATTCTGTGTGTTTCAAATGTTGTGAAAAATGTCTTAACATGGACCCCACATACCAGCCAACAGGAAGTTTGCTTGCCTTTCCTTTGATTTTGCAGCACTCCAGTGTGCCAGATATCTTCATTTCCAAGTGGGAAGGTTTTAACAAAATAAATGCGTTCATGAATAATGTCATCATTATGATAGTCCTTATGATGATTAGTCTGATATTAGTCAGTTTAAATTATACTTTCTGGCAAGTTTTCCATCTGCTGTGTTGGCTATCATAAATTTTGACAAGGGGAGCTGGAGGTTTTAATGACTCCTGTCATATGTAGAGTCACAGCAAGTGGCAGGGATTGAGAAGCATGTTAATGTGGTATCTTAATAAAAGGATTGGTGAAGAAATTAAGAGTTAATAAATGTGATTGTTCCAGCTCACTAAAATAAGAATTACAAAGTACACCTCAAACTTTTCAGAGTGCTAACAGTAAAACAGCGCTGTATGAGCTCTCTTATGCTTAAAGCTATTTTCAAGGTTATTTTTTAATTGTAAAGCCTACAACCTTCCTTTTTAAAACATGTTTTTATTGGAAACTTAGTTTTACAACAATTTGTGAATTTTACAACCAGATGCACTGGAGCAGAGGACCTGGAGTATCTGGGTCTTGCAAAGAAGTAGTTTCTCATCTGAACAGCTTTAGTTGCTTTTAGCAGGTTGAAAAGTAATTGTCCAAGACAGACAAAGAACAATCTGAAAGAATACAAAAAAGTATATGTTGTTCTTTCTCTGTGTGTCAATTCAAATTGTAGATTTAACTGAGAATCCCAAATGCATGTGTAAATAGTATACTACGTTTGGCTTTTAAGCATGCAGAAAATGGATTCTAAAGAGAAGCAATCAAATTACATAGGGGAAATTTCATTCTTCAGGGTTAATGCAATGTATAACCTCATGAGCCAGAATCACATAAGGACCATCCATTGTTCATAAATATGTTCTCTAGTAATCATTGTGTATTCACTGAAAATTGTAGATTTTTTTTTTTTTAATTACTTCCACAAATGCTAGAATTGCCCATGGTACACATGGAACTTATTAAAGGAAATACACATGCTTTTTATTTTTTGTTCTTAATTGTAATGGCTATTTTTGACTAAGGAGTGTATTCTGAAAAACCAGTCCTTTAGATAAAATAAATCATTATTCCTTTACTTAAGAAAACACCAAGGATCTCTATCACTCTCCGATTAAAGAAAGTAATGAAAGAAATATTTAAAAAGGTGGCTTAAGCCTGTTCTGTCCTTCTAGTAGGAAAGATTAGGAAGAAGAGGCTTTAAAATTAATAAAAACAAAACCAAGGCACGCCTCATGTTGACTACCATAAACCCATAGGTACTAAAACTCCTGTACTTCTGTACAGAGCCTTTGTTTGTGGCTGCAGATCAAGCAATAAGCATTAGTTGGAAGCCCGAGATCTATCACATCTTGTTAACTGATGTGAAAATGATTACCTGATGGTAGCCAATGCAGGATATTGCTGCATTTTAATAGTTATCTATGTTGGCTAATGTAATTAAAAACAGGAGCAGCCACCCCCAGTATACCTAGTGCACTGACAGAGCTGATGCACGTTTTCTAGTTGAGACTGTAAAGGTTCTGGGAAATTGGAAGAGTGAAATACTCATTTCATAAATGACGGTTAGTCATACAGGGCACCCTAATGAAAATGTTGCATGCAGAGGTCTCCGAGGAGGCGAATTGGTAGGTAATCTTGCATAACTTTTTTCCTTTTGTAGATTTGTTGTCAGTGTCTTTGATTAAGTATGCAAGAGCCAAGTGTTTTAAGAATGTTTTTGACAACAGCTGTGCTGTGTACTTAAGCTTTCCTGGTGCTTCAAATTGAGCATTATTGATGCTATAGATCAGGAAAGTGAGTCCTGACCTTGTAGTAGCTAAATTGCTATCCAGAGCTGCTTAGCCATCTGATTTTAACAGTAAGAATAGCATAACAAAAGTGTGCCTGTCTTTTCTGCCTCTCAGCCTCGCACCTGTACTGAAGAATAGTTTCCAGGTATTGTGTGGCCCTGTGCCAGCGTCGTCAGCCAGGAAGACAAATGGAGTTATTACAGGCTCTGTCTTTCAGTCTATAATGCAGTTGATAGTGGTTCCCATCAAGACATTGAAAAGGGAGCAGGCCTCTCCACTTGCTTGATAAAATATAAATCCCAGATATTTATTCTGTTTTATGCACCAGTCTCTTTAAAAACTTGAAAAAATACAATTAAGTTACAAAAAAATATTCCAGAGAGGTACTTGCCCCTTTGCTTTTCTAACTTTGTGGGGATACAGACCAGTACTCTGGTCTAAGCAAAGGTTTTTACTATCTTGTTCTGGAAGAGTAGCTATAACACTGCTTTGGAAAGGTGGCTGCAGTGAAGTCAATGCGCAAATGCCTATTGTGAACCTCGAAGTGAAGACGCAGCCCCACAGTTGAGGTTGTACAAGCCCACGGGATGATTTCACTATGCTCATAGGTAGACTATGCTGAAGTCTGCACAGCTGCATTTGTTAGTGAAACCTTGGGAGTAAGGTACATAAAATGAGACAAGAGGCAGTGTTGTAGTCGTACATCAGTGTACGATCCCAGTGGTTTTAGGTGGAACAGTTTGTCTCCTTTTGGCCTGGGGTGAAACCCTAGGTCTGCTATAGCTGGTGGGAATTTGGTCCCTGGCAATGGAGAACTTGCTCCTGATATCCTGAGGCTTTGTGCTAAGGAGAGAAGCACTTGCCACCAATGCAGCCCAAAGCCTTCTGTGTTTAGTTGGAGTGCAGGGTGGGAGCTCTCCTGGGAAGCCCACGGAGCTGTCAGATATTCCCTGATGTGGATGCTGGGTGGGCAAATTACAGCTTTAATGAGAAACCGTGTTAACCTTCTCAGGGCTAAATTCTTTCCTTGTGTAAATTGATGGGATGGCACTGGCTGTGGTGTCAAGGGAGAACTTTGCCCACGCATCTGCTGGAGCACTGGGAATGAGGAGGGTGTTGCTTCTGGTGTTGGCCAGTGCTCTTTGAGTAGGTCATTAGCTCACCCTTTTCAAAACAGAAACATCCCAAATCTGTGCATATCCCATACCGTTAAAATTTGACACAGCTAATGACGGCATTGCATTATTCGTTGACCTGAGTCCCATTGTTACAGAAGTAATGGGCATGATCTCTGGTGCCCTCCTCCCTTTGCCTGCCTTTTTGTTTAAATTCAGTGCAGGTACTGACCATCCTTTCTTCTGTACCTCATGGAGATATAATCCAATGACAGCTACGAGGCACTTTGTGTAGTGAACATGAAATAGGAGGGAAATGAAAAAATCAAAGAGGGAGAATTATTCATGGGAAATTGAGCACAGCTTCATTTCTCTGCATAAAAAATTAAGTAATGCTAAAAGAATTATACACTTGCCCATAGGATTTATTTCTTCCGAGCCCTTCACCTTTCTCGGGATCTAAGTCCTCCAGCAGAGAACCTTTTTCCAATAGACTATTATTGTTGTTATTATTATTAAGATGATTATAATAATTTTATATCTCAATGTGGGTATGACTGTTTCCTCTCCAACTGTGAAATGTGAAATCACATAGTATTTCTAAGTACTGCAGTATCTTCTCTCCCTTTGAAGAACTTTGTCAATTCTGCATGCTTTCCTCCTGTTTGTCCTTCTTACCTGCAGCTCTGTGCTATTCTGCAATCTTATTTTGAGGTGGTAGGGCAGACCAGTGGAACCTTATATTATGTAGGAAAAACATTTTTCCCCTTTGAATTGCCAGTATTTTGCACATACCGCCTTCTTCTGATCTCAGGACTGAGAAGTTTCAGTTTGTTTCCAAACTGAGACCCCTCGTTGGCAATGTGTTGTAATGCATGGAATTTATTTTACTGGCCTGACCTTATTCTTGACCTTTTTTCCCTCTTGTCTTCTGCAAATGCAAATGATGCATGAATTGAAATCCCCTTAAGCCTGAACAGGGGAGATAATTCTAAAATCAAGGAAGGAATTGGAACAGCAGAGCATATCTAGAACGTCTGATACAATGCCTTTTTTATTTTTCAGTCAGTTTGCTCCCAGGAAAACCTTTTTGTGGAAAACAGGTAAAAAATAGCTTTTTTTTTTTTTTTTTTTGTGTTAAACTTAGCTGTTTCTTTCTCTTATTATTTTGTCTATCTACAGTTCTATAGTTGTTTATCCTAACGCGAAGGCTGTTGAGCAAATTTGTAATCCATATTATCTGCAGTGCTTTTCTGCTTTCAGAGGGGGGGAAAAGAGATTGCCTTGCAGTATTGTATCTGAGCAGATAAGGTGTTACTGCTGCTTTCCCAAGACTTTGCATTTTGGTTTAAAAAGCAGACTGGGGTGCGGGGAGGAACCCACCTAATGTTTCATTTCAGATGCTCAACCTGTCTCTGGAGTGCCTTTAGAATTTAACTTACTGATCCTTAAAAAGCACTCCAGCAGTGGCTGGATGATGGTATTTATGAAACACCACGCTTGTTTCTGTTGTTTAACCTGCTCTCCTGTGGGACTGAGCGGCAGCACTGACTTCACTTGTTGTTTGTGAAGGTTCACAGGTCCCCCAGACCAGACCTGCTCTACTGCTGCATTGTAGTAATGAAATGGTTACTTTGCATTACTGTGTGATAGTTCTTATGGATGTTCTTTTTATCATAATAAATCCGTTTAAAGCAAAGGGAAGGAGAAACTGTGCTTAAATAAGATCTACAAAATATGAAGTGTTAGCTCTGTAGCAGCCATAAATGAGTTTAGCTGTGTTGAAGATCTTGGAAATTGTGCACCTTTATGACAGATAAGGATTTTAACCAAAACACTGAGAATTTCTCTGGTGAGCGTTTGAGCAGTGCTAGCCCAAGTCTATCCTGTGCAGCTTTTAAAACTGTTTATCATCCCCTTGAAGAAGGGGAGATTATCTTTCACAGTGTTTCTGTCCATCTTTACATCTGTCAGATGCATTTATGGGTAAGGTTGTTCCCATAGAAATGGTACAAACCAGCTTTTCTGATGGACAGTCCTGAAAGTGGAATGAGGGAAGTCCCTCAGGAGGTAACGGCCACTGTCACCTAACCACCTTGTATTCTGAGAGCCAAGGATATTTCCTTAGCTGTTTTTTCTGTATCGTGCCTGTGGAGATATGTTTTATCAAAATAAATAAAAAATGTAACAGAGGAACCCGAAAAGTAAAAAGATGATGCTTCCATAAACCTACTTTTCCCTCTCTGGAGAGAATGGGACAATAAATGTGACATAGTTGTTCATGTTCCCAAGTCAGTATGAAAAGTGCTCAGACACTGCGCTGCTGAGGGTAGGGTGGGGACCTTTATGGGATAAACCATGAATTTCATAGCCGGGTCTCCATTGGTTTATGCATTCAATCCCACACCTGCATGCAGAAGAATGTGGCCAGTTCTGGTGTTAGCACTTGGTTCACTTCGCTCAAACCCGTGAGCTGGCTGACCAGCTTTCCCAGTGTGAGGATGCATACCCAAGTGGAGACCGGTAGAAGGCTGGGCTGAAAACTGGGCTTCTGTTACTGCCTGCACTGTTGTTGTCAGGAGGGAGATTTCAGTTGTGTTACTCAGAACACTGCTTTTTCTTTCTGCATGCCTTACAGCCTTTGACCAGGTGAAGCACTTAAGCTCGTACTTAGCTCCGTGCACATGAGCAACCTTGTTGATTTGCTGTGTTGAAAGTTAGGTATGTGTTTAAGTGCTGTGCCCTTCTTTTTCATCAGAGAACCTGAGCATTTCTCTGAGCTGCAGAGATTTCCAAGCGACTTAGCAAGTGCTTAAAATTATATATGCAGTATTTTGCTGGCTTGCATTTTTTTATGTTCTTAAGAGGTGATATTTTTATGAATTTTCTTTTGAATGTACATGTATGGTTCCTTGGCTTCTGAGAATTACCTTGCTTGGTAACAGGAAATGTTAAATGGCCTTCAGCCTCCCTGGCTGACATTTCTCGTGTTCAGTTGACTGCACAGTTATGGCGGGGGAGAGGGGAGGGCAATTTTAGTCTTGTTTTTTTTGAAATATGAGTCTAGTGCAAGTTGGAAGGTGTTGCTAGAAATTAAATATAGCTTTACAGATAAGATAAACTTGAATTACCATGTCTGTTACCATAATCTTTCTTTTCATTTTGCAGTAGGCTGCTGGAAGACAGTAGTATATGCAATGATACCCATAAGAAAAGACAGCTTTTTAGGTTTGTATGACTTTATTTAATATTCATTTCCCAGTAACTCTCACTCGTGATTCTATCCATGTCCTCGCCGAGGGAGACCTTGACGGGTGTGGGTATGTCATTTTTCTTGTTGGAAAGGAGCATGGAGAACAAAGTTCTTAACCTGCTCATCCCACGCTCTCTGAATGGGGAGGTCACAATGGGACCCTTTCCTTTGGTTTTGTGGATCGTTGGCTCAGGAACCATATCACATTTTCAGCTGCCCGGCTGTTCGGACTGCCACAATTTGGGGGTGACTGTGACTGGAAGTTCATTATGCTCTAGTATAGATGACAGGCACATTTCACAGACTAGTGCCCAGACTGACCTTTTTTCCTTTCATTGGTTTATTAAAAGGTGAAGTAAAAGTATGATGAGGTGAAACTGATTGAAGTTCCCTTATCTAAGGCAGCGATGTTTTGAAACTTTTTCTCTGTGACCTTTGTCTTCCAAACTCCAATTCATTCTGCCCAGAGAACATTCAGATGTATCCGATACCCCAAATAGCGTCCCAAGCCACAGGGAATCAGTAGGAGTCAGTCCATATTTTCATGGAGAGTTGACACACTGGATCAGTGGAGGACCCAAACTGGTGGTGACAGCATTCTTCTGAGAGGCTTAGAAAGGCTCTCTTCTCTCACTGTGAGCTCCCACAGGTTCAGTTCAAATCAACCGGAGTTGAGCATGCCAAGCTGCTTTTAAAGTCAATCAGCTGCCGCAAGTCTTAAGCAGAGTGGGCAGAAGTAATGGATGCTTTCAGAAGCACGTCCTTCATCCAGTAAGGGACGTGGATAGCTAGGCAGAAGTAGGGTGATCACTAGATGTCTGTATGCATTTGGGTTTGCATATGTAGCAGTGATAGTTTGTGTCACTTCAAACCTGTATCATCTAGATTACATAATTTTTCATTATGAGGAGAAAAGGATGTGGGATTATTTGACGTGCGGTTGCTGACTGTGCTTGTCAGCGCAGCAGCCGTGGAGGAGATGGTGAGACAGATAAGGAGCAGTGCTGGAGCACCTGGAGCTGCATCCCATGGCCACTGGCAGAAGAACTTTCCGTCATGCTTTGGGCTAGCCTTGATGATCTGAGAGTCTTGGATTGGGCGTGCAGGAGAAAGGAGGCATCTCACACACAGAGACTCTTAATAACTAATATTTGTTTGAGTTTGGGCAACAAAAAGGAATTTTGTGTAACCCAAAACCACAGATTACTGGGATACAAAAGCATTCTGTTTCTCTCTCTCTTTTCCACTAGAATGTAAATGTAAGAGAATTGTTAATTTCTAAGCACAAGAATGCAAAAGAATTTGTGAATAATATACTTTGTTTTTCTCTTTCCAATTAATACATAAGGACAATTTCTTTTAAAAATCTTTTTCCTTTTTTTATGTTGTTGCTTCTGTGCTGTTTCTCTTCATGCTTTCCCAGTGACTGGGTCTAGCAAAGGTCAACAGGTTAATACTGCTGATCACATCTGTGAGAGGCTCTGATCACAGGCAAGGAACGCACCAGCCTGATCCCGTCTTTGACACGCTGCTCCTTCACGTCCCGAGTGGCACAGCTCGGCAGGTTCTCCAAATAAAAAGCAGGACCCACGTTCGCAAGGAGAAAGGGGATGAAAAAAAAAATAGATAACAGTCCCATCCTTTTGATTTGTAGAGAGTGCTTTGAGCCTGCAAGTTGTTATACTGTAAAATAAGACAGAGGGGTGGCAAACGTCTTCTAAAAGCCTTCCGAAAGCCAGTGTTATTAACATCGCTTGGGATAACGGTCGTGGTGCACTAAGCATGCTAGTTTTGTCACTTCAGCAGCACATTGCAAGCTGTTCACCGTAAATAAGCCAGATAATCCTCCAAATTCTGCTCACAGTTTACTGTTGTCACTCAGAATACACTGGGTGCTCTGCAGCTGTCCAAGGACAGGCAGTATCTGCCCAGAGATGTGTGCAATTAGTGTATGCAGAGGGAAAAAAAACGTACAAACCCCAACTGCTAGGTCTCTAAGTGGAGCGTTAGCATTGAAGAGTTTGGGAGGATACGTGTTTAGGGGAAGGCTTTGGGTGACGCTGCAGAGCTGATGAAGAGGCAGATGAGTAGGGACGAGGTGCAATAGAAACAAGGAGGATGGATATGAAGACAAAGGTAGGAAGGTGAAGTTAGTGAGAAAAACCTTGCAGGTGATGGACAGCAAAGGGAGAAGTAGCGAGGGGTTTGCTGAGGGAAGAGACCGGTCAACAGGCAACAGAAATGCTACGTCAGTGCTGCGTAATATTGCTGCGTCAGCCCCGTCCGGTGAAGTGCTCTTAGGATATATGCGAACCACAGCAGTGGTAAGTGCTGTGCATGTAAAAGGGTGTAGCAGTGTTTACTTGCTGAAGGCAGATGAGTATTGGGGTCAAATCCCCCGTTTCAGGCATGCTTCTGTAAATGTGGAGCATTTCCTTATTTCCTTTTTTTTTTTTTTTTTTTTTTGTTTTTTCTTAATTAGGCTTGCTGCAAGGTACCCAAAGATAGACTCTGCCCTGACATGGTTTTGTTTGTGTATAAATCTTTGTTTCCTGATGTCCGTAGGGGTAACAGAGACAGCACGGGGAAGGCATCTGGCAGTCGGCAGAGCAGTACGGAGAACGAATTGAAGTGGACAGACCACCAGAGGCCATGGAGCAGCACAGACTCAGACAGCTCAAATCGAAATTTGAAGCCAGCCATAACAAAGACAGCGAGTTTTGGTGGGATAACCGTCCTGACAAGAGGAGATAGCTCGTCAAGTAACAGAAGTACCGGCAAACTGTCTAAAACAGGTAGCTAGTACTGTATTGGGTTCACAGTACTTCTTGTTGTGTGGTGATAAATGGCTGTACTGGTGCTTGCCTGAGTATGGTATATCACAGAATGGTTTGGGTTGAAGGGACCTTCAGAGATCATCTAGTCCAACCCCCATGGTTGGACTTTATAGTGAATTACAGGAACAGTTGTATTTCCTGTGCATAGCAGATGTGTATGTCCATCTACGTATGCTAGTATCTGAATACCTGGTATTGAGATTTTAGGAATCAAGAAGAAAACCTGGTGCCTGAGGTTTGCAAATCGTAGGTGAGATAGGCTATTCCTGGAGTACGGTTTGCGCACATCCTATTTGAACACTGCACTTGTAGCCTGAAAAGGTGGTAGTCCTTTCAGACAAAGCAAAGATTTTACCTTTTTATTCATCTTGCTCTTCTTGAATCATGAAGAATTAAATGTCGTGTATCTGATGAGAAATCCAAGAACATTTTGTTGTCATTGCTAAAATGCAGACCATCTGTATCTTGGAGTACAGCATCTCCCTTGCTGCTGGCAGGTGAGGCAGTGTGCTGTGGTGGAAGCAGTCAGAAGCACTGGATTCACAGAGGCCCCACAGTCTCTGCATTTTCTTGTTTAGTTCCCATTAAATGAAAGCATCATTTAAGGGGACTATGAACGTGGTGGGAAATCTGCATTTATTTGCCTTAACTTCACAGGTACATTAACATATGAGTGAGTCACTGGGTCTGGATCTAAGTAATTTCAAGCCATGCCATTAAGCTATTCCCTTATATTTTTGTGTAAAAGTGCATAATAAATAATGAGCCCATGAGATGATTCCATCAGTTTGGTTCATTTGATAAATATAGTACAAGATAAGTGGTAATCAATACTTAGCACTTAGTGCTTTTTCAGCTTGAGAGTGTTATGGATGGTACTTAATTTAAACCCAGTTTATCAAACGTGGGTTGGTCAGATTTCACTCTTATTCCCAAAATTGTAAGGTAGCCTCTACCGTGATTCAGGATGCTGGGGAATGGGGTTTTCAGAGTAAATTGAGAAAATTTTTGACTTTGTAACTACATTCTGGACCAGCGGATCTTGAATACAGTTAAAAAAAATTTGTTATATTTCACAGCTGGAAAGGAACCTGGCTGGTTGGAAAGCCACTCTTTCAAACCCTGCTGGTCATAAAAGCTGGGAGCTTTTTGGAATATTCCTGCTTTTTTTTTTTTTCTTAATGCTTCTAATTTATATTTCTTTTGAGACCCTAGACAAATATTGGGTTTATTATCTTAAGATTCATAAAATCATAGAATATCTCAAGTTGGAAGGGAACCATAAGGGTCCCTTCCTAAGGTAAGATTCTCCTTCAGTGTTATTCCATCCTTGCATATGTAAAATTCTATGGAATTAAGACATGAATTTGACTTTGAAAGTTAGTACAGTGTAGTTCTTTACCTCTGGCTTGTTCCTGAGCATGAGCATATGCAACATAGTAAAACCAGTGTGTATGTAGTTTTGAAACTACGCTCCTGTATTTTTTATTTGTATAAAGGCTGAACAGGCTATACAGTGGGGCCTGAAGTATGCAGTAGACCATGTTTTTACCTCCAGATTTCTTTGCCTCCTGCGAATCTTTCCATTGCATCAGAATTCAATTTGATATGCATGAATTAGGAAGGAGGCACAGGTTCCTGGTATACTTTTTTCATATCATTCACCTTCAGTAGAGGGCAGGTAAATGTATTTCTCCGCAGCATTGTATTGCAGAGGTGCAGAACATTTAAAATTATGTCAGGTAAGTCCATTTTGGAGGGTTGAGACATCTAATTGCAAGAGTAATACTTTTAAGTAGCCATTTTAGTGTTAAAATCAAGAATATTAAAGGGTGCACTTAGAAAATACATTAAAGGAGAGATCTCTGAAGCATGCCAATACTTGTAAATGCATCTGCACTCCATATGCACCAAACCCAAAATTGCTTTCAAATGAAAGCTCTTACAATACATTTTTAAAACATCACTGGTATTAAAATTCCATGTTCTTTGCAGAGCAATTACATATTGTAAGTGCTTTGACTTTTTTTTTCAGCAAAGTATTTAAATTTGAAAGCTAGGTGAGCACAGAAGAATAAACAAGAAACAAAATACAAGGAAGAGGTGGGGAAAAAGAGCAAGGCTGGATGTCAAAACAAACTTACACCTTCAAAGCCAGGACACAAAGTCAAACTGTCAGTCAGCCTGAAGAAAGTCAGAGGAAATAATATCTGAATCGCTATTTCTATCCTTCTCTCTGAAATGTTATTGAATGGCATTAAAGCAGAAAAGAATGACTGTTCAAGAAATAATGGGGAAATGTACCTTGATAAAGTGTTCTCACTTCACCAAAAAATGCTGAGTGCATTCATACAGCTGTCAGAGCCCCCACGTGCTATTTGCATATGTTTTCTAGGGTACACTAGCTACGAAGCGACACTTCATTGTGCATGTTTGTTGCATTAGATTTTCATCACTGTACTCCAGTCATGGGCAGCTCTGGGTGTTCCATAGCTCAGTACACATTTGAAGCCTGATCATGTTTTTATTTTGGGGGATTTTGTTTATTTTCTGTTGTCTTTGCTACAGCGACTGAAATGGGATTGCAGAGGTGTAGCTACAAACATCAGGCATGCTGCCCTGGTAGCGTGGCGGAACCTGGTAGGCACCAATTCTGTCCTGGTTCTCCTCTGCAGAAAGTACTAGTCTGTTCTCTGAAGTGTTTTATGATTCACAGGAATAAATTTAAAACATTTTTGGTTTGCATATAGTATGTATGAAATCAGTCTTCAGTCATTAGTTGGTCAAAATGTTCTTCATCGGCTAAACGATGGAAAATGTTTGTGACCATTTTAAATGTGAAAATTATTCTACATATGTGACGGTCATCCAGAAGCACTGTCAAACATGCTTCTTGAGCATGGGAATATTAAAACTTTCAGGATTTTCACAGATGGCTCACAGCTGCCTTTGAGAGTATATATAGTGATGCAATATTACCATTGTAGCCTTTCTGGATCATTTTTAATATTGCCACCAAAATTAAATGCTCTGCCCTTAACCTTAACTTCTGATAAATCAGTAATTAATGGTACAGAGCAGATAAACAGGAACTAAAGCACAGAAAGATGTTAGCCTCCCCTTAGGCAAAGACAGGTCATAGAACGTGCTGTTCTCCGCAGTAGAGTCCAGTAGCGTCAATTAGTCTTATACTTTAATTGCATTCAGCTGCATGGGAATTAGAGCTTAGCAAAGGAATTATGTTACTCCATTTTTGCAAACTTCACAAAAGGGGCTGTTTGAAACCCATTATATGGTTATCTTACTGGTTCTAATGATTATTTTCATGCACCTGTTGATTGTTTACAAAGCCCTGTTCCACTGAAAAGCACAGATTTATATTGCAAATAAAATTCTCTGAATTTTATTCTGAAGCTTAGTAGAAGTATAGAGAGATATTAAGTTATAATTCAGTATTGAGCGGGGAGTTAGTAATTTAACAAATTGCAATCAGATTGCATTCCTACAACTTGGGACATCATCCAAAACCTTGGTTAGTTTGAATTTCTGGTAATACAGTGGACTTCGCAGGACTAACTAATCATGTATAGTTTTAAGTGAAATAGTTGTCCCTGTAGGCATCAAAGATATACCTGTTCAGTCTCTAACCACACCCATGAAGAGAAAATCTCACTCACAAACTCCCATATTATCTTCAGTGACACCTTATAACAGGTTTTAATACACATTATTAGGAGGGAAGATATGTTTCACAGAAATGTCCTTGGTGTGTGTATCTACATAGCTATTTAAATAATTGTTGGAAGACTTAGAAGATGTAACTATTGCATCTTTAGCTTCTCTTAATGCATTTTCCATTCAGTGGAATGCACATCTGTTGGAGTGTATTTCTTCCCCTCCCCCATTTACAAAAAGCTGGCTGCACTGGGGTATCAGCTGTGTTGATACAGATCTGTAGGGATCGTTAACTTCCTTGGCAGAACTCCAAGTAATCGGAGCCACAATCTAATCTCTCCTGTTAGGTGTTCATTGCTACTCCTGTTGGGCAAAGATGATTATACTGCAGGCATTTCAATACATTAACCTCTTCTTTTTTTTTTTTTTTGTGATAAAGTATCCTGTAAATCATAATTTTGTCTCTGAGTTTTGGAACTGGATTTTTGCTTCGTTTCCTTAATCAGGCATTAGTCTGATGGATCTTGTGAGGCCAAGAGAAACTGTAGGAATGTTGATGTATGGGCAATAAATCATGAGCCAACTGCTTCCAGTCATACGCTTCCTGCCAACCAACTGTGCTGAAACATCAATCTTATTTTTAGAAGTGCAACTTTCAGAGGAATAATCGTGTTCACGTGAGCACATACCATTATTGTTAAAAAAAACCCCTTAAATACATTGTAATATACAGAAATGCAAATGACTTACAAAAGGAGCAAATAAGTATTCCTAAGTCAAGAAACTTTATCCAAGACAAAAATACTTCCAGAGGTGATCAGCACTGTGCTGCTCCTAAAAAATTGACCGTCTGGAGCAAGTAGTGGGTAGATATTGAGAGTCCAGTTGATAAGAAAGAAAAAATTTACCTTGGACTTGGAAGGTAGGATGAACAGAGGTGTTCAAAGTCATCAGATACTGAATGCTGACCCAAAGAAAATAGAGCAAGATGTGTTGCATCACGCACTAGCACTCAGGATATTGGAAAATTAATGGTACCTCTATGCTCTCCCTCTGCAACCCCCCCCCCAAGCTATTAAGACTTTGTGGTGATTTTTCTGTCTCTCTTTCTTTACCACTCTTTGAACTGATGTATCTCTCAGAATACTTAAAAAATATATTAATGGAAAGTGATGAGAAAATGAAGGTTATTATTATGTCAACTGTGAAGCAGCAAGAAAATTATAGAAGAATCTAGAAGAAGTAGCCATCATTACATACTGAAAAAAAGAAGTTGGATTGTGTAATGGGGGCAAAAATCTCATTTAGTCAAAGTTCCTTTCAGAAGTCTTTAGCAAGACATCTCTTAATGTGAATCTGAATAAAGTCAGATAGTTCATTTTTTTCATTTGCTACAGTACTGAATTCATTATGTGGTGATTTCTTATTCCAAATTTAGACACCGTGAAAACAGCTAATCAGAGCTACAAAGACAAGATTAATTGCTGTTAATTTCCAAACATTAGTGTTGGAATTTACTTGGCTTAATATGTCTAGACTTAAAATGATAGGAAATAACTTGTAGTGATGGCAAAAAATTAAAATAGATCATTTTTATACAGGATAAATGGGGGCAAAATTGGTTAAGTAATAATGTCTGGGATTTTTTTTTTTAAATATTCAGAAAATTCCTGAAATGGTTTTGTGTCTTATTTGTGTTCTTCCAAAATCACCAACTTGATCTACTGACATATGAGAGCAGACTTCTGATCTTTTAAGGCAGACATTTCAAAGCTATCATCTTGGCCAACGTGCGGTGGTAGCTCCAGAGACTGTTCCACTGCTTCTGTCTGCCATTTGATGAGTACATCTGAACTCATTGCAGTCCTTTGGCTTTTAACATTCAGAAGCTGGTAAAGATCAGTCCATGATTCTGCCATTTCCCCTAGCTGAAAGGGGGAAAAGGAAAAAAAAAAAACCACCAAAAAAATTGAATGGCAGAGCTGCAGTTTTCTTTTACATTAATGGTGTTTCTTCAGAGTAGCACAAAATGAGGAGAGAGAAGTCTGAACTCAGGCTTGATACTATTTACATGCTTAGAAATAATGGGAGGTTTATGAAATCTCATCACCACTCCTGCACCTCCAGGTAGCTTTCTAAGCCATTGAATTCAATAGGTGATGGAAAAGAGGAGAAAGTAAAGCAAGAACTCAAAGAAGCAACATGAAGTGCATGTAGAAGGGCTAGGGGAAATGCAGGAACCTGGTAACTGCTGTGGAAGGAAAATTAAACTCCTGCAGTTGTGTTTACATTTGTGAGGAAGATGCCAAATACTGCTTGCAGCTTTATGAGGATGACCTCCAGGAGTATCTCTGCCATTTGTAAAAACACTGAAATCTGAAATGATTCAATAAATAAAACTATCCCTGCAAGAATAGTCATTCTAAATTTCCAACTTCAGTCTATAAAGAGGGAAAAAATATAGCAACTAATACAACTTTGAAGTGTATATATAGTAATTAAAAATTTCTTCTGAAATCTCTATTACTTTCTTGATTAGGTACTGGATAAGCAGGTTTAGGGTCCTACTGATGGCAAATAGTGCACAGCTCATAAAGAGGACTATCTCTGTAGTGGCTGCCGTATGAATACAAAGTTAGAATAAGATAGATAAAAATGTGTTTTACACAGCAATTGGCAATAATCTGTGGAAACACCCTCTAATAAGTAACAGAATGCTGGTATGATTTCTTTAGAGGAAACCTGTTTTGCTCTAATTATGAGGAAATAAAGGACTTCCAATATGGATTTGAGAATGAATCCAAGGCTCTAAGCAGTCTACTGCTGGGTCCTCCTGTAGTATCCTAAATATGAAGGGATGTAATTTGCCCTCTAAGAAAGAAGTTTTCTAAAATATAAGTCCGAGTTCTGTCTTTTCTTCTAATCTGTACCTGCAGGAAGGCACAAAGGACGTTAGTAATTAATGTAAGATGCATAGATAGTGCACAGAAGTAAAATAAAAGAAGTTGCAATTAAAATATACTTTACTTCTGGGAGGAAGGATCCATACAGACTTTTGTTTTCATACCTCCCTTGTATTTCCCTTAATATCCTGCTTTAAGGAAGCCATTCCTCTGAGCCTCATACTCTCGGAGATTCTTGTTATTTTATGTGAAGCAAATTGAAATCTAATCAAGTAAAATCTCTGAAGTTTGGAAATTATATTGGGGTTTTAAAATAATGTGTCTCCCCGTCCTTCCAGGCATAAATGTGTTTTAGCACATTTGATTTATCTTGATTGATCAATGTTAATAAGCTAGGTGCTGAAAAATCAAAGTGGCAAAAGTCTTAGGTAGCTTTAAGTTAATAACATATGGTAAAGCTACATTGTTACTTGACTGACAACTCAGTTGCTGGTTTGGGTTTTTTTTATTACAGAAAATGTTTGGTGGTTTTTTGTGTTGGTTTTTTTTTTTCCCTTCCTTTTTCATTTAAAAACCCTATGTTTAGACTTTATGAACAAATACTTTGGCATTATAAATACATGCTGAACATTTTGTGTTCTGTTTGATAAAGCTGTTTACTGGCTAGGGGGAAGCAGGTGTTGTGGGAGGAAAGTGTATCTTTTGAATTGTGGAAATACCACCAGATACTGAGCTCAGCAGGGAGTGGAAACCCCACTCCTACTAGCTGGGCATGGAGTAGTGTTTGCCTTTGCAGTCTGTGAAGGCTGTCCTCATGTACGTGCCATGTCTGATGGGGACCGGGGTCCTTTGTAACCCTCCCGCTGTCTTGTGTCTCTCCGTTAGGCTCAGAGTCTTCCAGCAGCGCTGGCTCCTCAGGATCCCTGTCACGAATACATCAGCCTCTCCAAAGTGCATCTCTTGTCCCTGGGGTGACGGCCAGCTCTTCAGGCAACGTGTCCTACCCTGAGAACGGGATGAGTGGCCAGGTGGCCCCCAGCAACACCAGCTATATCATTCTTCCACTTGAAGCTGCAGGGATACCGCCGGGCAGTATCCTTCTCAACCCGCACACAGGTCAGTATGATGCTCTCCTGCCTGGTGTTGCCCTTCAGTGTTTCCAATGTCATCTGGGGAATTGGCAAATTTCATGTTTCTAGAGATATTTTCCTTGAGGCACTTTATGAGGAAGCAAGCAGCAAATACACATAGAAATGACATTCGGCAGGTTGCTTTTTTCAAATCTGCAAGCAAAGCTGGATTGGCTTTCTGAGGCTGTTGTGGGAAGTGATGCAAAACACACTCGTGCAGTCCCAGACAGGATATTCATTTTGTAAAGTCCTGGCACTCCCTGCCTGTGAATCCTCTGAGATCCCATTAGCTTCAGTAAGGACAGATGCTCTCCCATATCGAGCGTGCTGATTTATGGTGCAACTGAAATATGATGCTTAAAGTTTTAGAGATTGTGCTTAACAGCAGAGGAGTTTTAAAAGGCTTAGAGGCTGCATGTGAATTAGCACTTCAGAGTTAATTTCCTTATGTGATTAGCAATTGTACTTAAATAGGAAGTTTTGTGATAAGAGAAAGTCATAATCTCTTCAATTCTGCATCATGGCCCTGGTAGTTAACAGCACTGCAGTGCTCAAATGAGGCATTTGTAGTCACCCAAGCACTGTGGATGCTTCAGAAACCACTCAGCTTGAACTTGAGTGTTTGCTGAAAGCTTACGGCAATTTGTTACCTCCTTGGTCCAGATGAAGTCCAGATAATGTTACACTATTACTCCCCACAGTATTGTACTGATGGCATTACAAAGGTTCAGGGAGGTTGAGGCTGTGGTGCTTCTTCCGTGATTTGGACTATTTCAGTGACCGTGACTAGCTGTGTTGTCAACCTTAGCTGAGTTATGCTGGGTTTAAAGTAACAAAACCTACAGTGCAATGTATTTTCCATTATACTGGGAGTTGAAAGTTGAACTCCAAAATATTTTTTCCAAGGTCCTTAGTAGAGCATTCAGGAGCTTTTTAGTCAGGGATTTTTATTTATAACCGGTATTTTATGTGTATTATACCCACGTTCCAATATTTTGGTGCAAATGCATAAAGCTTATTTGTGAGTTCACTGCTAAAAATACTTCTTTAGTTAGAATGCAGTCAAGAAAAACTGCAAGTTGCAGTGCTTAAGAAAATTACAGACTTGACAATCTATTAAACCAAACTTTCCTCAGACATTTAGATATAGTAGTATCTGGGGCTGATCAATATATATCAGCATATATAAAATCAGGGAGGAGTTCTTGTTTGTTTAGATTCAAAGCTGATAAGCTCTTTCCAGAGAGATGACTTTAAAAAGTACACGTTTGTGCAAGTTACTAAAGCCTTTGCTATTTATGTGTACTTTTTTTCCCAAGCTATTACATTATTGACATGAGACCCTGATACTGGCAGCATAAATGGGGATTTTAGTCATTTCTTAAAATGACTCAGGAGAGAGGACAGAATGGCAGGTAGGCATAAGACAAAACCCATCATTATTAATTTACTCGTTGTTCTGGTTGACAGTTCTGTCTGTAACACTGGAATTTCCTGGTCAATACAGAAGATGGCATTTTGCGTGCCATGTGGTTCACACCCGTACAAAACTCCGCAGGCCTAGGCAGAAGCCCATCCATAATTCAGGTGATAGTACTGAGAGAAACAAATGAAAGGAACCGCTGCTACTTTGAGCCCACTAGCAGCTGAGGGGTTGTGCTCGTTCCTGGCCACAGCAAGGACAGAGGCTGCAGCTCACCACACTTGCAAGCCAGAAGAGCTGTTTAAGAGGAACATCTACATCTGTTTTGTCAATTTAGCAATTTGCAGCAGCTAGCTCATATTTTTCCCTGCTACCTAGGGAGTCTTTCTCTGCCATAGGTACAATGCCTTTCAATACTGTTGCTAGACCAGAGTACCTGCTCTTCCCTCCTAGCGTGCCTCATTGTCTGCAGAGGCATAGTCAAGAGCTCCGTGTGTGTTAGTATGTTTAATATTCGGGGAGCAAGTGTTTTTGTGTACATATAATTTAGCGTTTCTTTCAAACCACATTATGTTTCTGGAGCTCTGTTGTAAATACATACATAATAAAGAAAATGGAAGGAGTAGATTCTTCTAAAGACTGAAATCCTTGTCTTGGGCGTATAGCTTCATGCTGCTACCTGTGCTGGAAGTCAGGCTATACTGTAGAATCTAATGTGTTTTTAACATGCAGCAAAATACATGCTGCAAATTTGCCACTCTTTGGGCTCGGAATCTTTGCATCTTATTAGGGTAATATTACAAAAGAAGCTCCGTAGGGAGGAGACTTAGATTGCTGGATGCTGTGATCGGCCGTCAAAGTGATGGATGGTGTCAGAAACATAGATGAAGAGAAGGCAGTTTAAAGAAAAGGAAAAAGGAGCTTTGTTTCCTGTAATGAATAGATTCTCTTTCCC